ACACACACACACACGCACGCACACACACACAGACAGACACACACACACACACACACACACACACACACAAATAAAATTTCAAGGTACTCCACACAGAACCAAAACATATAGTAGATGGTGGCTGGGGTCTGTTTACATCGGCCACAAATAAGACTACGATTAGGAAACATTCTTTCAAATATAGCTTTAGAAAATTGTTGCAAATGTAGAACTAAGCATGTTCTGAATGTTGTGCAAACATCTTTAATTCCTCAGATTCTCTTGTTGTACCAAATGTGAAATCCTTTGTACAATAAAAATTGTTGAAAAGGATGATTGTCTACAGCAGGTGAATGAATAGAAATATTCTGAATCTGAGGTTTTTTATTATTATTTTTTTTTTTTTATAGAGGGGTCTGTCGAATTACAGTCATTTGTGTAGAGAGAACAGTGAAGTGAAGACAGCTGATGCTTCAGTGTTGGTGGTGAACTTTCGTACTTGTTTTCTATTGGCGAGCAAACTGATGCTGTCATTCGGGAAGCCAATTATCAAGCTTATGAAAACTTCTAAATATGACAGCTTCCTGCCATGACAGATATACCATATTTTCCAGAATATAAGAATATAGCCTTTTTATGACCAGAAACATGCTGCAATTTATATTCCAAGGTGACTTATATAATGCAATCAATGTCAAGTATGCAAAACATGCACAAAGTGCACCATTTGGATTTGCCGAATGAGAGAGGTAGGCTACTTAAGTCTAATCTATGGCACATTTAGTAGTTTCAGTTTCATTTTAAATAAATTTGTTTAGGCTTGGTGTTAATAAATTTAGTTTAGAATGAATGGCACCATAATTGTTTTTTATATATACTTGTATTTTTCATCCCTGTTCTGATGTTTATTATGCTTATTTATTTTTCATTATTTCTGAATGTAATACTAATGTGACTTATGCGCCGATGCAACTTATCCCTCTCGCTCTCTCAGAATCTCATTAGTAATCATTGGTATTCATACAAAAAGTGTGGTTCTAGCACACACACATTTCATACATTTGCTCACACATTCAAACTACATTATACAAGTATTCACAGTTCAGTACGTACCTTGGTTTTGCGGTCACGGTTCGATATGAGTTTGGTACAACAGGAAATGTATTTTTTCATTT